TCTGAACTTCAGTGGGAATGAATCCCATTGTTTCTAAGCTCTCAATTGTAATTGGTCATTACTGTGCTAGGGTGTGTGGTTTTCCCTGGTTCAAAATGTACAAAGTTGCATCATTTTTGCATGTTGTTGCTGTGTTCTGAGCTGAATAAAGAAATCACTTGTTTAAGAAATGCTGCCTCAATCACAGTATATAACAGATACCTACTTGGTTGTTCCATTGCCTTCTTGGTTTCTTTCCCTCAAGTAAAAACAGCTATAAAAAAAAGGGCTTAAGACACCCTGCACAGCATCCTCAAGGAAGCTGCTTAGAGACCTCTGTTGCTCATCTTTGACACATTCCAGCAGGATAGTATGTTTGAATGTTACAAAAAAAAAAAATCAAAAATGAATTTTGTGGCATCTTAAAGATTAACAAATTAATGGTGGTGTAAACTTCCACAGGTTGAAGCCTACTACATCAGACCTACAAAATGTATCCTCAGCAAACATGCTTGTATCTGGTTTTGGTGATCTGAGTCTTCCTTCTGGGAGCAAGAATTTTTGTTCTGCACTCATCAAGGCTGGGGCATGGTTAAATAGTATAAATGTCCAATTCCATACTAAGACAGCTGTACATGCTGGAGGTATTGTTTTGATTCTCTCCCAACAGCTGACTAGTTCTCCATTTGCTATAGATGGGAAGCAGATCGATCGGTTTTTCTGTGTGATTCACTGTGGATACTGCCTGCTGAAACCTGTACATTTGTAAATCAGCCTGCCTAGAATCAGGGCCACCACAGAAATCAAGACTAGGATTTCCAAATTCCCAAGGCCCTGGCCACACTGCAGGCCTATGGATCTGGACAAGTCATGTGATCTGCTTTCTTATGATGTTGGATGTTGCATATGGCGAGGGGGAGGGTCAGGGAATCATTGGCCAAGGACAGACTGGCAGTTTGAAGCGCGAGGGAGTCGTGGCAAAAAGATCCATCACAAACTGTTCCGGGTTTTCCCAGTCACACTGCACCAACTGCTGTGGGAGCATACCAGGGAGGAGGCGCAAGGGAGCGTTTGCACTGTTGGCTCACTCCTGGCGGAGGACGGCTGTAAGGCTCAGCTTTCTTTTTGGTAATCTGGAGATATGCGCTTATCGGCATTCACAATTTGTTGGTGCGGGATGAACACGGGATGACCATGCTCTCCAGGGTTTGCTACCACTTTCACCAGGTACTTTTTAAACTCAGGAGGTATTGTGTAGTGGGTTTGCCGCATGGACGAAGGACAAAGACCGGCATAGTGCAAAGCATGCTTTATTTGGTACACAACAAGAACACTAACTAACGGCCGGCAGGCCAACGATATATACTCCAGGGACACGCCCCTGGGCCCCGTTGGTGGGTTTGAATCTCCCGCCACGGTGCCCATTGGTTCCCCAGTGGAGGGACTAGGAGCCTAGTCCCTATTGTTCTTCCAGAGTCAAGCTCTGGCTGTTCGCTGTCTCCCCAGTGGTGGTCAGCATACACAACAGGAGGCAAGCGCTACAAGACAGGCTGAGTACGGCTGGGGAATGCCTGACTGATGTGCCTGTGTGAACGGTCCATTTGTGAAACGTTTCTAGCACGTGCCTATCTTGGGGCAAACTGCCAGTCTGAACTCAGGCATTGTCTGGAGTTTCATGGCTCATGGCAGCCCTGATTCAAATAGGATGGGCTTGTCAAACATTTATTTTCTTTTATTGTGATCCCAATATTCAGGCTCCATAGATTTTTACCCCAATAAGTGATAGATTGCCTCAGGCCTTGCTATTCATTTACAAGGATATAAGGAACCATTTTAAGGATCAGCTACTGCTGATAGTTACAATTGCCTCCATTGGTCCTTCCTGAGATACCTAAAAAGGCCACTGGCGGCTGTGATTTAAGTGCAATCCTAAGAAGTTACACTCTTCTAAACCCATTGACATCAATGGATTTAGAAGGGTGTAACTTTACTTAGGATTGTATTTGTATGTGATTTGGAAAGGCGATCAAGACATGTAAGGATCTTTTTTACATTCTTCCCTTCGCTGTTACAACAAAAAGAGTACAGACTTTTTAAAAAGAGTGAATAATCCTTTCCTTGGAGATAGATCAAGATGGGTAGCCATGTTAGCCTGTCTGTAGCAGCAGAAAAGAGCAAGAGTCCAGTAGCACCTTAGAGACAAACAAAATATGTGGCAGTGTATGAAGGTATCTGCAGAAGTGAGCAGTGACTCATGGAAGCTCATACCTTGCCACATATTTTGTTAGTCTCTAAGCTGCTACTGGACTCTTGCTCTTTTCTAATCCTTTCCCAGAAATGCTTGTTTATGAGAGGTTCTCCCTTCTCCTTCCCAGGATACCTCAGTCCACCACAGACAATACAGCTGCCAGGCAGTGAAAGTAGAAATAAGAACAAATTCAGAATAACCCAATCCAAGGCTTCTGATTGGCCAAAGGACATTTGATTGGCTGTGCAGCTTTTTTAAAAAAAATATTGCTTTGACAGCAGCTGTCACCACAACACAAGAATCTTCACTGTGTTTGTGAAGGAAAACTGTGGCAGCCATTTTATGGCAGCCATCTTCTGAGTTTGCCTACCCCACTCTCAGAATTCCAAAGGTGCCAGCAGGTTCAACAGTGTTGGGGACCCAAGGTGTACACTGCCAAAATAAGACACACATTTCTGAGTAACACTTGCACATGCATTAATGCTATAAGTTTACCTAGAAACCTAACCATAGAACGAGATGGAATGCTATATCTTCATTACCTTACACCTTGTGCTCACTTCCTATGTTGTTTACCTTGCCTTAGTTTGTTGTTTGCATTGCTCTCTAATTCTGTAATCTCTAGTCCTATTGCATTGTCCACTGGTTGTCTTGTGCTGTCTGACTGCACTGCTTTAGATCCTGCAATCAGTTTTGAATCTCAGCAAGAAAGATGGGCTATAAATGAGGTAAATGATATAAAACAAAAGTCCAGTGTCACCTTAAAGCCTTTTGTTAATTCTGCTACAACAGACCAACATAACTACGCTCCACAGTCTTCTATAGTCTTGCAGGCCACAATTAAAAATTGTGGAGAAGGTGGGATTAGACCTCAAAACCAACCAGGCATCATGAAGAGAGGGTGGGTTGAGTTTTAAGAGAAAGGAAGTTAGAGAAAGATGTTGCTAAAGCAAAGGCTTGAAAGAGATGCCTGAATAAGAACCATCCCTGGTTCAAATAAAGTCCCAGGCGGGCTGTTTCACCACCCCTGCGCACACGCCCCATCCTGTATTTTAGCTGTTTTTAACACTCCCTTCTTTGTTTTCATTGGCTAGTTTTAGAATAACATTTTAATACCATATCTGCTGCAATTAGCTTTATGCCCCTTTTTTTGCTGAGACTTTGAGATGATTTTGTTTAAAATATTTAGCTTTCTAAAATTCTTCTGGTTGAAATTTTTCTACAACATTTAGATGATACATTGGCAATTGATTTGCTTTTGCACTATTTTAGTAATATATGCATTCATTTATTGCATTTTTATCCCACCTTTCCTCCAAGGAGCTCAGGGGAACACATACAATTGTCTCCACTTCTGCTTTATCCTCACAACAATCCTATGAGGTAGGGGGAGGGGAGGGCAAGAGGGCGGCGGCTGGCAGCCCCTGGGAAGCATGGTGGCCACATGTCGGCTTTCCCCCGAGGGTGTAGCGCCAGGCCGTGGGTTGGGGGCTGGGAAAATGGAGTCCCTTTTTTCCCTTTGCCGCAAACCAGCTGCTTTTGCTCTGTGGGGGCTTACAGAAGGTTGGGGTGGAGGTCCCCTGGCTCTGTTTGGATGGTTGGGCATTTTTTTACCTCTCGCTCTCTGTGAGGAGGGGGCTCCCAGGAGCTCCCCAGGATCTCCTGGCACAGTCTGCACTAAGCAGGGGCACAAATCTAAGACAATGGCCTCATACAGTGTTAGCACAAGCATTATACAGTTTTCACACATTCACAGCAAAAAGCCCGCGGGTTCAAAGCATTCCCCAGTCACAAAACACAATCACAAAAGCCCCTTTGCACCCCCAAAAAGATTCAAAACACCCAGGGACTCCATTTTCCCAGCCCCCAACCCACGGGCCGGGCGCTACACCCTCGGGGGAAAGCCGACATGTGGCCACCATGCTTCCCAGGGGCTGCCAGCCGCAGCCGTCTTGCCCTCCCCTACCAGCAGGGCCCTCAGGGAGGCGGGACTCAGCCACGAGAAGGGAGGGGGGAGCACTCATCAAATCTTGTCTTGACAGAAGGGGGGTACTAATTCCTCCTGTTACCCAGCAAGTGCCACCACAAATAAGGATTTGAATTCAGGTCACCCACAGCAACATTGTACTAACTGCCCCCAGCCTCACATTCTTTGAGTTTTACACCAGCATGGGGTAGGGTTAGACTGTTGGGCTAGGATCTGTAAGACAGAAATCCTGTCTTCAGTTTGTACCTGATCTGAGGGACCCAGGTTTGAATCCCCACTCTGCCATGGAAACTTGCTTTCTTTACAAGCTGCTGCTTTATTTTCCCTAACCTCCCTTCTGTTGACATTGGACTGACCTCTTGGGCCAGTCACACACACACTCAGCCTAACCCTTACAGGGTTGTTGTGAGGATAAGACTGAAGAAAGGAGAACGATGCAAGCCGCTTTGGATCCCCAGCCGGAAGACAGGCGGGATATAAATGTAAATCAATAAGCGAGTCGCGCTTGGCCGAGAATGCGCAGGTATAAATATTTTAAAGTGCATTCCCCACATAGATCGTTGTGCCTCTAGGAGTGCACAGAGTGTTTTCTGAGCGTTTTCTCCCTCCCCCATTCCTTGCCCCTGCATATTCCGACACGAAGCGGCCGAGAGCCGTTTCAGGTGCGGCGCTGAGCTCTCCAGGCCATTGAGAGCGCCTGTTGCGCAAAGCGCGGAGGCCGCGCTGTCAAAGGGGAGTCGTTGCTCGCTCGCTCCCTCCCCCGGAGCATGCGCCGCAGTCCCAACTGGCACCACAGCAGCCGCTTCCCTTGCCCAGCCTGGCGGGCTTGCAGCCGCCGCGTCGCTTGGTGTGGGCTCCGCTGGGGCGTGGTCTGCCGGGCGCCTGCCTGCTCCAGCCGAGCAGCGCACCCTCGCGCGGCGTGATCCAGCGGCCCGAGGGCAGTGGGAGAGCCCCGGTTAGAGCGCCCAGAGCCCGGGAGAGACCATGGGGCTGGAGAAGAAGAAAGCGGACACCAAGATCTTCATGGATGAAGAGGGCTTCAACCGAAGTAGCAGCCCTGCTCTGTCCAAGACGGAGGAGAGCTTGGAGAAAGTCCCCGACAGAGATCCACACGGCCTCAACAGCCATCTGAAGGTGAGGGGTGGAGGAGAGCTTTCCCGGGCATCCAGACGTTACCTGTTCCCGCTGTTGCTTTTGCGCGCTAGAGACCCCTAGGAGTCGCTTAAATGCTTATTCCATGTAAGGCTATTTCAACGCGAGCCCGTCTTCTCCCGCTCCCCCCCCCCCGGTTTCCGTCCTAGGAATTAAAACTCACTGGAATACTTTAAATCCCTCCTTCCCTGGTTCTCATTTGGAGAATGACTTGTTTTGATCGCGCTGAAGTTGTGGGTTAGGCGGGCAGGTGGATAAACACGGGGCCGCATTCACTGGTTGCTGTGTGTACCTGTGAATGTTCACAAATACCCTCCCCAAAAACCTGCCCTTGTTCTCTTCCACACGGTATAGTAGAAGGTCAGTGCCTGTTCGATTCAGCAAGATTCTTTCAGATCCCTAACAAAAGCATGCATCCTCTCCCCCCCCCCCGTTTGTGGGCCCCCCTCCTACTTTGCATTTTCAAAGGGAGGCTGGTGTTGCCAATGCTTATTGTGTCTCATTCCAGCTGGGATTTGAGGACGTGATCGCCGAGCCTGCCTCCACTCACTCTTTTGACAGAGTTTGGATCTGCAGCCATGCGCTCTTCGAGCTCAGCAAATACGTGATCTACAAGCTCCTGACTCTTTTCCTGGCCATCCCCTTAGCCCTGATTGCAGGAATTCTCTTTGCGGTGCTCAGCTGCCTGCATATCTGGTAGGACTTTTAACTTCTTGTGTCTGCTGCGGTGTTAATATTACAAAAGAACTTCATTGCACTGGCAGGAGGGAAATGCTCTAAGCAATACCTGCACTCTCTGCCGCCACCACTGCTGGCGGTGGTGATTTTAGATTGATCTGCTAATATTCATTCTGGTAGAATTTGTGAAGCCTGGGCCTGTTCATGTTTACTTGGAAGTAATGCCTGTGGGTCCTGACCTGGATGACCAAGGCTAGCCTGATGTCAGATCTCAGAAGCTAAACAGGGTTGGCCCTGGTTAGTAGTTGGATGGGAGGCCACCAAGGAAAACCAGGGTCACTACACAGGCAAAGGCAAACCACCTGACAACATTTTATACACAAGGCCTATGGCCTCAAATGGCAGTTCATCAGGAAAGTATAGAAGTGATTGAAACATTAATGTGCAAAGTGCTTTCAATAGGCGGTAGAGTCGACTGTACCACTTCAACTGCAGGTGAATGATTACATTTTCCAAGATCTCTCTCTTAATAATACCCCGTAAGTGGGAAAGCTGTGCTGCATGTGAAAGATTAAGCTAGACTCTCTTCCTGATTTGCAATTTTTTGTATAATTTGCAGGAGATATTAAAAATGTGACATTGTGCACATGCCCCATCTGAAGTGATAACGCCCATTCTGCCACTTCAGAATTCCACTGCCTCATTCTAGTAGATATATAGAGCCATATTTGTAGCGTGACTGTTGTTGTATTCACTCAAAAAATCAACATAGGTTTGCACATCATATGTCAGTCAGTTTTCCAGCTTAATGCTGAATGTGCAAACACGCTTCAATGAAAAAGCATGGCATTTGAGGTTAAGGGGATGTCTTCTTGTTTCATACCCGCAAAAGATCTGTTATAGAAAAAGAGCTAGGGGAACTCATTAGCATAACTCATTAGCATATGCCACACCCCCTGACATCACCGGAAGTGTGTCATAAGGCCACACACCCCTGCCATTACCGGAAGTGTGTCATAAGGCCACACCCACCACTCAGTTAGTCTTAGTCTTAAAGGTTAGTCTTAAAGGTGCTATTTGAACTCTTGGACTATTTTGCAGCAACAGACTAACACAGCTAATTCCTCTGAATCTAAACCCACCACTCAGGCTCCACCCCCAAAATCTCCAAGGTATTGCCAACTCAGAGCTGGCGAGCCTATCTGATGGCACATGTGACAGACGGGTGACAGCAACCTCAGGGAGGCCATAGATGGGCACATAAGAACATAAGAAAACAAGAGAAGCCATGTTGGATCAGGCCAATGGCCCATCTAGTCCAACATTCTGTCACACAGTGGCCAAAAATGAATTTTGCTCACAAGACTCCTTAGAGGGAACATTTGTAGGCAATTCCAGGGAGAAAAAACAGCTATAAACCAAGACCGGCTATAAACCAAAACAGCTATAAACTAAGCATGGGGGCAGATGACCACATTGCTACGGAAAATACACAGAAAATCCAGGCATTTATACTTTGTTTTCACTCCCTCCCCCCAACAATTCTGGCGGCAGCCCTGGTTTCAGCTCTCACTGAGCCCCCGTCGAGCTCGGCGGTGGACCTGCAAGGCTGGCGGGAGTGCAAGGAAGGCCCCCCAGCCCCCAACGGTCCCGGTCGCCGCCGGCCTTGCGGCCCGGCAGTGGACCTGCATGGCCGGCGGGAGTGTGAGGAAGCCCCGCCAAGGCCCTCCCTGGCCCCATGCAGGCAGGGGTGGGGAAAGGCGGGGAGGAAGCAACTTTCCTTCCCTCTTCTCCTGCCTCCTCCTGGCTGAATGAGGGCTGGAAGCAAGGCGGCCGGAAGCAGGGGGGCCTTCGTCATGTGCCCCGCCCCCCCGCACCTCCCCCGGGGGAACAGCGATCCCCCGCGATCCCCCCGAATCGACCTCTAGTTGTAGACATCAAATGAACATGCATGTATGAAGCAGGCGTGTCCCACTGTGTTCAGGGGACCTCTGCTTCCTATTTAAATGTGTTTAAGGTTATAGCTTTTGTATTGCAACCACCATGTAAAGAAAATCACTATTTCATTTTATATTCTAAAGGGAATAAGGCCCGTTGTGGAAATAAATACAACGAGATCTAGAAAGAGACCTCAGCAGGGTATAATGACACAGAGTCCACCCTGCAAAGCAGCTGTTTTCTCTAGGGGAATTGATCTCTGCCATCAGGAGAGCAGTTTAATTCTGAGAGATTTCCAGTCCTCACCTGGAGATTGGCAGCAATAGTTCCCCAGGAGAAAATAACTGCTTTGCAGGGTAGACTCTATGGCATTGTATTCAGCTGAGGCCTCTCCCCAAACTCTGGCTTCCGTAGACTTTACCACAAAATATCCAGGAATTTCCCAACCTGGAGCTGGCAACCCTTGTCAGGACTGGCCCCAATGAGTTCCCCACAAAGGCCTGGAAAGGGCCTCCTGCCTTGCCTTTTTATTGACAGAACCAAGCTTGGTTGCCTAGCAACAGCCACTGAGGGAAAAGTTAGTCCCACAGGAGCCAAGCAGAAGTGTCTTTGTCAGGAGAGACAGCTGTTTTGGCAGTTTATTCTGTCAGGGAAGTGGCCAGGTTGGCAGCAGATGGGGAGAGGAGCGGACCCAGCACCCAGCCAGTGGCATGAGTACTCTTGATTGGTGGTTGATGGGCCAATGGCTGATGGAGCACACTTCACAGCCAATGGGAGAACCAGAAAGCGCCCATACATAAGGCATATATGCACTCCCTCTGAAAAAAGGGGTTACAAAATACCAAAACCAGAGAACAAGGTGCCTGTGCAAGCACAGAGAACTGTTCCTGGCAGGCAGGCAAGATGGAGGGGGGCAGGAGGGGAAGAGATATTGGGGGGAACAATTACAAATGAGGAAGATGTGGGTGTCTGGGTGAATTGTTGCTGTCACCGCCACTGAGGTGCCAAAGGTCTGGCCAGCTAGAAGGGTTGCTGCCATTGGCAGTGCTGCTGCAACAAACTTGCAGGGCAGGCGATTAAGAGACTTGCTGCCTCAACTGCCCTCTTTAAACTTTCCCATTGGCTTACAACCAGTAGGACTGTGGGGAGTGGCAGTGGCACCTAGGGGAAGGGTGAAAAGGATTCTTAGCACCCACCCACCTGTCTCCGCTTCTCCCCACAGTCTTGCTGGTTAGAAGCTGAAGGGAAAGTTTAAAGAGGGCAGCTGAGGCAGGGATGAGAAGGAGCCTCCTTGCCCACCTGCACACTTCCATAGCTGCCACCTCAGGCGCCCAATCTACACTTTCCCATCAGCTTCTGACTTTCAAAACTGCAGGGAGAAGGAGCACTGGAGACGGGCAAGTGGGTGCAAAGAATTCTCCTTGCCCCTCCCATAGTTCCAGCACAGCTTCTCCCTGCAGTCTCTCTTTCCTGCCCCCCAACGTTGCCATGCTGCCTATTCCCCCCACCTCCACCCTGGCCTGATGTGGCTCCCTGCCCTCCCCCCATGACCACTACTGCCCCCCAGACCCTGCAAGTTCTATGTGACTTCCTGCTTTTTCCCCCTTATAGTCACTGTCCCCTAGTCCCTCAGGGCTAGCTTGTTTTTCAGTCACAGTACTGCAGATTTTGGTGTGTATGTGAATACCAATTCCTTATGCAGATGTCTGTGTGAAGGAGTCATTTGTGCATGGTATTAATTTGAGTAACTGTCCCACAGCTGCTTTTAGGTGGCATTGTATCTGTAAATGTATTAGTGAAAATTACTGCAAGTTACCCTTGAATGTGTGCCTACATGTATGGCAGCAGCGCACTCAGCTCAAACCAGATTTTTTTCGTGGTGGGGGTATTTGTGTGAGTCCTTCCTGAGGACATTTGAGATGTCAACTTTCACAGCAACTGCAGAGCCCTTGCCCTACCAGGCTGTGAAACAGAAAGTTCCCGGTAGGAAGTGATATTTATCATTCTGGGCAACTGGATCTACCATTTCTGAGGTTTTCGTAGAGATTGCTGTGCTGCTTATACTGGTGCAATTGAGCCAGCATCATGGATTGTGGGTGTGTGGCAATCTGATTCAATTCACTTATGACTCATAAAAACATTGTGGCCACTGATGACACTGAACCTGGTGGCCTCAAGGCCAGCCCAAGGTTTTGGGGCATCTTAGGTGAACTATGAGTTTGGTGTACCACCTCCCAAAATAAGGACAAATGTGTCTAGAATTAACATTTTACTTACTGGGCATTACAAGGTAAAAATTAAAAACACCTAAGCGCTTTAAGAGGCCTCCATCTTATTTATTTATTTATTTATTTTTCAAATTTATATTCCGCTCTCCCCATGAACGGGCTCAGAGCGGATCACAACTAATAATTAGGCCATTTGGCATCACAAAAACAATAGTAAAAAGTGTATTATAACATTAAAACGAATAATTTAAAACAGATCGCACCAGTTATTGCACAGTCTCCGATACTGGTGCCACTGGACTCTTAAATTTGTTTAATCCGGGCCACGTGGAAGTGATGTCTTCAGCAGGGGAGACCAACTTTTTTACTGGATGCCTGCCACCTCAACCAAAGGCCTGGTGGAACAGCTCTGTTTTACTGGCCCTGTGGAACAATAGAAGGTCCCACAGGGCCCTGTTCTCACACGGGAGAATGTTCCACCAGACCAGGGCCAGGGCAGAGAAAGCCCCAGTCCTGGTCGAGGCCAAACGGACGTCCCTCAGGCTCAGGACAACTAGCAGATCTTGATTGGCAGAGCACAAGGCTCTCTGGGGTACATATGGGGAGAGGCGGTCCCTTATGTATGTCGGGCCCAGGCCGTGCAAGGCTTTAAAGGTCAATACCAGTACCATGAAGCAGATCCAGTACTTAATTGGCAGCCAGTGCAATTGGTGTAGCACCAGCTGAATGCGTGCCTCCTCAGGCAATGCAGTCATCAGGCGCACCACCATATTTTCCACCAGCTAGAGTTTCTGGATCAACCACAAGGGGAAGCCCACGTAAAGCGAGTTACAGTAATCAAGCCTGGAAGCA